AGAAGCTGTATCAGAGTTCAAAGTTGAATTTATGTGATCTATGTACGTTGTAGTTTTATATGAAAAACGGCAATTTTTGGGGTCAGTTGTCCTTTAAGTAAGTCAGCACTTGTAAAATAATCGCAATAATCTGGCATACATGTACAGTAAATACATGCATATTTTCCAGAACTTGTACATTTGTGTAAGAAAAAACGAATGTATATTTTACGATCATCAATTCCTGGAAGGCGCTCTTCCGTAAGGCTCACTTTTCATGCTTCACCACTATGCATTCAACACTCACCTCACATGTTGATTTTTACAGAGGAAGCAAAATAAGGGATACTGTCATTATAGCTACAGTAGCTGTCAGTTTTTCTTCACAAAACAGGCAGAATGTTCTTAAATATTAGATATTAGCATATATATATAGTCAGTTTATCATTTGAAGTAAAGTACTTTGACATTAATATGAATTATGCATACTCTGAGAAAACCTTATATTGTTGTACTAACATGTGTTTCAAGTCTAATAATAATTATTTACTGYCTGATCAAACTCTTTTTCTTTACTTCATGTATATAATAAAATATATTCAGTAATATGTTTAGCACATATGAATTGACACATTAATTAATATATAGTATAATGTGGATTTTTACAATAATTAAGGGTATAAAAAAACACATTCATATGCCTGTAAATTACCAGGTCTTAAAACAATGGCTGCACAAAGTCTGACTAGAATTAGAACGTGACTGATCTATAAGCTTTGCCTTGTCGTTAATATTAACCAGTGACGTTCAGCCAGAAAAGAGATATGACCAAGCTAAAACTAATTTGGCCAGTCATCATAACCAGTGACTGACCTGGTATTATTTTAAGCCTTGAATTGCCCATTATTCTGGTTGGTTTTTGAATACACCTATTTCAAAAAATCTTGTCATAGGCAATAGGTCATTCTGAGACGGAAATGATTTTGTTAACTACAAACAGCATTGAATCAGTCTTAACACTTAGGCCACCCATGTTCTTGACAGAATAAGAAGCAGAAACAGAAGTTATTCCAGCTATTCTGATCTTGGACCTTGGAATGATTTATCTCTTATCGCTTTTCGCCTATCACCTACTGTAATTTGGAGATGACAAAGTTTTTTGAATTAGGTGTATGTGATGAAAATAATGCACATGTACTGTATTATTTTTATTTTTATTTGTTTTTCTCAAACTCATTAATAATGCATAAATTCAACTTAAGAAAACAGACATCAGACTTGTGAATAAAGTGAAAGATTAATTAAATTGCTTAAAAAATATATAAATGTCTGCAGGAATCAAACATGGAACCCCTCACTATCTATACAGTTTTCCTTACTACGACCGTATGCTATAACTTGTTTCTAAATAAAAATTTTGACCTAATTTTTTTGACCTAATTTTTTCCCCCTATATTCAATGAATTATGATGAGTTTGAGAAGCCAGATCAAAAACTTGTTGATTCATGTTTGATCAGGGTTCCAAACATCTCAAAGCCATAAAAGCACTCAGCCTATGGTCTAATGCTTTCATCAGCTTCTCAACACTCTTACTCATTTTTGATCTAGATTACTATAAAATATTTGAAATATAACTGATTGGCTGGCTGTTGCATGACATTATATTAGAGGACAGACATTTTTATTTTATTTACTTTGTAAGGAAGTACTTAAATTGTCTTAAAATACAAAATGATGTACATTATATTCATACAAATTTAATTCCTCTGTCTCCTCACTTGCAGGTGAGGGGACAACATTGATTTCATTTTCCGTTATCATTGATGTTTTCTCAGTGCAGGGGATTAGCCCACAGCCCAACCCCCAACCTGGAGAGCCAGTGGATCACTCGTTGTCTGGTCTCTATCCTTTGGCCTGTATAATAATACATACAGTTGTACTAAGTTTAAATTATATATGCTGTATATTTGAACTTGTTATCATTTTAGTATTTACATTTTATTATGTATAATATTTTAAGGTCATCTCTATGACTGTAGCCATCATTTAGACAGTGGTCTGGCAAATTTTGGGGAGAAATAATTGTTCTGATAGTGAAAACATACTTGTGGCTACAGTCATGTATTAACACGTTTCTGCATTCCTACTGTAGAAATGAAATGTTGTTCAAATAATCATTTCTTAGTCATTTCATATTATTTTTCTCCAAAGCAATACAATGAAATACTATTAACATTCAAAATAATATAATTCATATTGATTCATTAAAGCTATTTGGTAAACCTTTCCTTATTTCCCTCTCTAGCTTTTAGTAGAAAATTATCAACACTATTAAACATACTAAGAATAAGATCTGTGCTTATTGGCTAATCTTTAGGGGCTGGGACTAGACTCACCTGGAGTATACCCTGTTAGAGCACTTCAGAATAATCAAATATATATTCCACAAACGTATGAATCATCAGCCCTAGTGTTTGGGTTTACTCTAGATGTTGACCATTTATGGTAACATTTGAATCTTCACTGTCAGTTGGTTGTCTGTGTCCCACTAGGGGAATTACAGTAGAGACAGGTCTTGGTGCTTTCAAGAATTTAATATAAGGTTGTTATTACAGCTGTAAATAGCCTATCTTGGATTCACAACAACGTTATAGAGTTTTAACCTTAAAGGTTTTTCCCCAGACATGTTTCAATGTTGCTCACTCTATTATCATTATCAGTGTGTAAATAAATATGCATATATTGCATGTGCTGCTATGTACATTCTACCACTTTATTTACACACTGACAATGGCATAAGCAACCTTAAAACATCTCTAGGTTAAAACTCTATAACGTTGTGATTCTAAATTTGTTATCTTCTCTGCTGATAAATAGCCAATCATTAGTAAATAGGCAGTAAACTACAATGAAATACTGCTCGTTATATGATAAAAACAATCGTAGCCGGGATATATTTTATATAGTATCATCCATTTACAGGTAGATTACATAATGGTAGCTATATTCCCAAAATACTGTATATTCTAATGGCGTAACATTTTGAAACTCATACTTACAACTAAAGATTGTGATTTTTGCAGTATAAAGATTGTATATCATTATGCAGATAAATGCTCATGATTAAGAAGCAGACATGTTTTGACTTGCTCTGGCAATTTGATGTGTTTTTTTTTTTTTTTTTGTCAAACAAAGTTGGAACTTTTTTCTAGTACAGTATGTCTAATAATTTTTTCTAGTATGTCTTAAAGATCTGAAAATTTGAATCTTATTTAGATTTCTTTTCATTAAAATCAATACTTTTAACATTATTTCTGAGAGTAGACATGTCTACACCAGAAAATGTATAAATATAATATGTATTGCATACAATCAACCACTACCTCATGCTGTTTCCTTTAACTTTTTCATCGACATATGCCATTCTTTTCTGAAATATATCTAAAATACCAGAAGACCTTTTTCTGTCATCTAAATGTGAAATGTTGTTAGGAGAATTAAATTTGAGTTTGGTTTTGTACATAAAGTTTTGTACGTAAACAAAAAACTGTCATGGTCCATTGGGATTTCTAGTTATCCTAAACCAAAATAAGCACAAATGTTGGATGCTTAGGTGGTGCTTGAGATGTCTTTTTTAGCTGCGATTAATTTACAGCAAGTAAAATTCTGTAACATTTCAATTCTAGTAAATAAAATAAGAATAATTTTGTATCTTACATGTAAGATGTAATTGTTACCAAATATTTACCCTATTTGGACTCTCTGCTTCACTTCACTAATTATTTGCTTTCTGAGATCAAATTAGAAGTTGAGTCTAGGATTTTTATTTCAAGAGAGATTTAGTATGGGAAAGAAAAGAGAGGGAGCTGCAACACAATGCATAAGCTATGTATTGCATAAATTGGGGGAAAGAAATTCATGTGAGTTTCATATTGTGTAAAAAAAATAATGAATATAATAACAAGATTTTACCTGGAAGGTCTCATCACCAAATTGTTTTACAGAGAGGTCCTGCAAAATCATAGGAAAAAATCAAAACAACAACCCTAGTACAGGTACATAAACCCTAACTTAATACCTTTTTATAAGATTTCTCTGAAAAACTCGAATTTAAACTAAAATGTGTGGGCCAACATTTGACAGTCATCTCAAGGTTGTCCGAGTTTTTTTATATTGACATGTAGAGCCTTGTTCTTTAAAATGTTTTAATTAGACCGGTAATAATTGAATTTTTATCAGCATATGTCATTTTGGTGGACACACTTTAATAGAAACCCAAAAGCCTATGATATATGATAATATGACCAAAGTACAACAATTAAAGTCTGTGTATTGACAGCTAACGGATTTACCAGAGCAATAAACGTTCAGTACTTTTCCTGGTTACAAATGGATTTAATCATTAACAAGTACAATGCTAATCAGGGCCTGGTTGTACGAAGTCTGGATAGCGCTATCGGACGGATAAATCTTATCCAGTGGATAAATTTATTGGATAACAGCATTGACTTATCCACTGGATAAGGATTTATCCGCTGGATAGCACTATCTGGGCTTCGTACAACCAGGCCCAGACAGACCAAAAGTGGAAGAAAATTGCAATTTTTTTATAAACAGTGAAAATTTTCAATATTAATCATTAGTATTAATTATTATTGTGTATCTGTTTAGATGATGTAAGTGACATGGAAAGTGGATATATAAGTCCAGAAGGGGACAATACTTTAACACCACAAAGCTTTTCATTACCTAATTCGTCTGGGTTTATAAGCCCTCCACCCAAGGTACAGTAACTTTTGCTAAAATAAGACACTTATACAGTAAGTAGATCACATGGTGCAGTTAAATCCTCAACCAAAATGGAATGTCAACTTGCGAAGCTATTCTGTAAATGTTCAATGAAACCATAATTTTGTATTCAAAGCACAAAGCATAATAATGTATTGGAGAGTATTTTGACTAAAACATAAATATAAATATCAGTGAATATAAATATGCTGTAGATATTCAATCATCTTTGTGTTTTAAATGCAGAATGACATCAGAAATTTTGAAAGAAATATGTTCTTCATTCATTGGAAATATAACTTTTTGGGTACTCCAAATGTAATGTACAAAAATGTACAGAAATATAAATAGCAGTGAATATAAATATAGATATACATTCATTTTTGTGTTTTAATGCAGAATGACATCAGAGTCAAGTTTGAATTTCAAGGTGAAAGAAGGTGAGAAATAAATAGAACTTTGTACCCAGCCAACTGGGTTACCTGTGGTAGGGATTATCCACATCAGTATGCATAACCTTTGACAAGGTCCTTATTTCATAATGGGCTTTACTCAGGTGGCAGTCATGGTTATTGGATAAAAACCTTTATTTAACCCACTTAAATTTATTCTCAAGCACTTGAATGCAAGGCTACGTATGGGAAAATCTATTGTTCCTTTCAACATGGCTGCTGTGTGAGTAAGGTCCATGACATCACCAACCAAAACAATCTGCTATTGTACAAAGAAAAGGGTCTAAAAAGGGTCAATGGATAATAAAATAATTCCAACTTGAAATGTCATCTCTGCCCATGGCCTGGTATTCTGGGATAAGGGATTGCTAAGTAAACAAAAAAATGATAAAAGCATGATAAAACGTAACTTAGAAAAAGAAATAAAAAAGGTAGAGGAAATTCCAAATTCTTGTTCAATAAGTATATGTAATAGAACTACATGCTGTCCAATTAAGAAATAATTGGACAAGGAAAATTCCGAGGACTTCTAGGCCGAGTCCAATTTGGCAGTCAGAGGAATTTTTCAAGTCTAATTATTTCTTGATTGGGGAGCATGAAATCCCAACCTATTATAGATTATATAGCTGCCTAATTAATCCCATATCAACAAGACCTGTCCAATTAAGAGAATATTTGGACAGTTACCTATATGGTATTAATGAGAAGCTGTATAATTAATTAATAGTAACACTACATGTATTATGATTGTTTTGCAGAATAATTCCTGTTTCCAGACCTGTGATACTGGCTGACCTTTTACAGAAAGTAAAAACTGCCTATGGACAAGAATTATGTATGAATTATATCAATGAAGAGGTATGTACTGTAATAAAGATATACTAGGCAACTATACAGTGTGTCTTTTGTAGGAATAAAAGACAATTATCAACCCTACCAATTTTTAATACAACTTCTGGGCTTGAATTCCACAATTAGTATAGAAAATAGGACTGCTGTCCAATTTGGAAATAATTGAATGAAAAAAATTCTGAGGACTGAGAGTAGAGAATGAACAACCTCTACTCACACATGATGCCAGTCCCAAGACCAACTACCCAATTTTATCTACATGTAGGGCACTGCATTCACACTACCCTTGATAGTCCAGGTTATGGGTTATTTAGAAATTAATGTAATAATCCTAATATTTATTATCATTTCTATTAACACAGATTACAATACCAGTTGTGACACAGTCTGACCTAGAGAAAGCTATAGAGATTCTTGATAGAAGCCCTCACCTGACTAGCCTGCGGGTTTACCTATCATTGCCTAATGGAGTTCTGAACAAAACTAGAACAGCTCATTCCAGGCGAATGATGGTTGAAGCTCTTATTCCAGCACCTCCCAACCCAAAGATGGGATCCTTGTTTGGGCGGAGCCTTGGCGTAAGTAACACTTTTTATGCTCAGGGTTAAAAATAATGGCTGTTCAATAGACTACATGTACTTTGACAACTTGGCAGCCATCTTCCCAGGATCAAAACAAAACAAAGATAACGGAAATTATATAAAGTCTTGTGTGTTTGTCTTTCTTTTATGGGTAAAGGCAATTGATTTGCCTTCTTAATTCATCTTTTATTGTATTCTCATACTACTGCAACAAAGCTTTATTTGCCCCCTGGATGCCCTATAATGCCTTGCAATCCAAGATGGCTGCCGTATTGTTGAAGTAGTCCACGGCTGGACATGGTGACTGGCCATATCAGACTCATCAACATCTAACCAGTCAATCTGACCAGTCAAGAGGAATATCCTGAGTGGTGTTTGTCCAGACATGTTGACTGGCCATATCAGACTGATCAAAATGTGACCAGTCAATGTGACCAGTCAAGAGGAATGTCCTGAGAGATCTATGTTTGTCCAGACATGTTGACTGGCCATATCAGACTGATCAAAATGTGACCAGTCAATGTGACCAGCCAAGAGGAATATCCTGAGAGATCTATGTTTGTCCAGACATGTTGACTGGCCATATCAGACTGATCAACATGTGACCAGTCAATGTGACCACCCAAGAGGAATGTCCTGAGTGGTGTTTGTCCAGACATGTTTACTGGCCATATCAGGCTGTTCAACGCAAGACCAGTCAACTTTACCATTTTTAATTTCTAAGTAGGCCATTAATTTATAAAAAATACAATTTCAATACATGTTAATAATATTTATGAAAAAATTGTGTGGAAAAAAAAAGAAACTTGAAACTTGAGACAGCTAAGACAACTGTTTGACTAGCCATTATTTTAGTCCTGATACTTATCATTAGTACATAATAATTATTATAAAACACAAATTACTTGTAGGTTTGTGTAATTTTTTCTTGTAACTTTTCATGACGTTTGTTAAAGGAATTTTATGACATGTGGATTGTCGATGAATAAATTTCTTTCTTTTTTTCATTAACAGAGAAAATCAAGAGCAAAGCCAACAAGCTATGGTCTAGGTTCAAGGTAACAAACCCTCACAATTTCTTTTTTCAATTCCCAAGTTGGCACGAACTGTGATTTTAGACGTGAACTTGGTTCAAGGAACTGTGGATTGTTTTGTATGTCTAGAATTCAAATATTCACTGGAATTGCATCTTTACAATACAATACAATACAATAAACTTTATTTAAGAAGGGTGACACAATTAACCCAGAGAGTTATGTAACACGTGACCCTTTAACCAAATACTTTAAAAACATTGTATTCCAGACGAAGTACAGAGTGCAAATTCATTTTGTTGAGGTGAAGTTCATTTTGTGGAGGTGAAATTCATTTTGTGGAGGTGAAATTCATTTTGTGGAGGTGAATTTCATTTTGTGGAGGTGAATTTCATTTTGTGGAGGTGAATTTCATTTTGTGGAGGTGAATTTCATTTTGTGGAGGTGAATTTCATTTTGAAAATTGACTTTCACCAGTAAATGTTTTGAGTTTTTTAGCTACAATATTAATCAGTTTTGTTTGAAAGATAGCTAAATCAATTTCCTTTTGAAGTCCAGAAGTTTGTAACAAGTTGTGATCTTTCAAAATTAACAAACTTCAGAAAGAATGGCTGAAGTTTCACAAAGTCAACTGTAACCATTGTGTACTTAAGGTTTCCCACAGAGCATGCGGCAATGCTGGCTGGCAAAGAAGTGTATGAGCCTTTTGTACCACCTGGCACAAAGTACACTGTAGATAGGTGAAGGTGAAAATAAGTTTCAATTTATTTTACTAACATGAAATAGTTTCCTTTTTACGAGGTCGCAATCGACACCCGATGAAATAGCCAATATGGTTGAAGACACCCCTAGTACACCAACCTTATCGTGCTATCACCCTATACAATATATGTCAACCAATGATATTCGCACCAAGGGACGCGACTCACCGCCACCTGGATTCCATCCTGAATCAGCTGCATATGTCCCGAGAAGACCTTATCACTTTATAAGAGTGAGTTTTTAACATCAACTTCATGTTCTACTAGCAATTCTGAGATTGAGGAAAAAATGGATAGATTTAAGTGTAGCTTCTTGGAATTATGTCCTATAACAGTCATAATGCATTGCAATGAAATGCCAACTCAACCCACTTTTTTCTTCAACCTTGGAATGGCTAATAATGGTCAGATAATATGCCTTTTGCAACAACAGGTCATGTGACCCTATCCCCCCCCCCCCCCCCCCCCCCCCCCCCCCCCCCCCCCATGCCATCCAGCACATTTTCCCATACAAATCCTTATAAAATATCCAATTTTATATTTAATGCTATTTCTAATATTTCACCATTCAACTTTTCACTTGATGCAGATTCAATACCGAAAGTATTGAATCTGGGGTTGGATGCACTTTTCCTAAAAACTCTTCTTATCTTTTATTTCAGAGTGAGGGAGAATTTATTCCAGAAACATGTAGTTCAAGTAGTGAAGTAAGTTCTCAGAGACAATAAAATATTGTTTTGAACATTCATTCTGGCGGATCCAGGAATTTGTTCAGGGAGGGGTGCTGTAGGGAGGGGTGCACCCCTTAGAATCAAAGGGAAAAAACAGTATTGGTTATCTTCAAAGTAGGGGCACAAAGTGGAACCAGGGAGGGGTGCACACCCCCTGCACCCCTCCCCTGGATCTACCCCAGAACATTGAATTGAATTGCTTGGTCTCTGTTATATTTCTATAGATGGTGCAAGGTCATATTAGGATGTTCGATCCTTTATCCCACAGTGAAGTAAGTTACTTTTCAATAATCCACAGTATCTGTATGATTGATGCTTACTGCTGTTGTTGATGTGCTGGGAACTCAAACATTTTAACGGCTTGTTGTGAAATTGGCTTTTACTGCCGCCAGTCAAGAACATAAGAGGTACCAACTGTTTATTTTTGATTGACAGTAGCGAAAAACTAAATTGCAGCATGCAGCTTGTACGTAACTACTGAGTTCACAGAATATCGAAAATCGCAGTCATGCAAGGAAAAAATTGAGTCCAATTGTCATCAATTGTAAATTAAAACACTGATTACTATGAGAAAACATATTTGCAATTATATCTACTTCTGTATTTATAATGATACATGTACTGTCAATTGATACTGACATGGATTATGCATGCAACATTGTGTAGGTACGGGTTGTCTCTAGTCCTAGTTCAGAAGGATCATTGACAGGTTCATCATCATCTCTCAATGGAACATTTTCTGTTGGCAGGTATGGTTTATATATTTATTATATAGACATGAACGTATTTTGCTGGGAAATACGCCACTCGTTTTTTTGTACAAACTACATCCGGGACCTGAGTAACATATTTTCCATATCTTCACTGGTGAGGATATCAATGACATCATTTGCGATGTTTTCCGGGACCTGTTTTGATTAATTTGTGTAGTTTTTCTTTGTGGACTGTCTATATGATAAAAAGAAAATTACACATTGGCTCAAAGATATGAAGTTTATCTTCTCATGTTGAAAAATATTTCACTTGTTCACTGCGCTCACTTGTGAAATATTTTCACCATAGGAAGATAAACTTCATATCTTCGCACCACTGTATAATATCCTCTAAATATTTTGTACAGTACTAAAATATTTTATAATTTTAAAAGTTTCAATTTTAGGGGGGGGGGGGGGGAGAGGGGCAGGTAGTCTAAAATGCAGGCAAAATCATAGACCAAATGAGATAGCATAAAGGCAAGACTGTAATTTTTGTAATTTTTTTAAAAGTGTTGGCTGGGCTGCTTCTCTTTCATCTGTAATTGCTGCTGTTATATTTTGTTTTACGCTACTGTAGTTACCAGAACTGTTACCTTATTTTCCTCAGTGTTGGAGAAGTATATTCATCATTCTCTAGAATGGCTAGAAGAACGCATTCAAACAATTCGCTAAATTCCGGTGGCATGTTTTCATCAGGTAATGTATGAAATTCCTTTTTCCGCACCTGTGGGAATTGTAATGAATGCTTACCTTTGCTTGCTGTTTCAGAGGAAGACATGCTTGATGGCAAGGCAGATACTTTTCCAAGGAGAAGGCAGACGTTTAGTGGCTCGATATCAGACATTAGCGATGGTATGTGTGTGCAATATGCAATTGCATAATGATATGTATTTAACAAATAAAACAGCTTTTTCCCTGCTCTGTTCAGTAATAAAGCAAGCAGGAAGTGATGTAAGCACGAAAGAAGTGTAAGGAGAAGCCAAGCCATAGGCAAGTGCTTCCCACACTTCTTGAGTGCTTAAGGTGCTTCCTAATCGCTTAATTACTAGACGGAGCACGGAAAAAGCTGTTTTAAATATAGAAAATATATTGAGCACAGTCGCTATGACATTCACTTATATACCTAAGATATGTGTGACAAGTCTTGGAAAATATATTGAGCACAGTTGCTATGACATTCACTTATATACCTAAGATATGTGTAACAAGTCTTGGAAATGTATTGAGCACAGTCGCTATGACATTCACTTATATACCTAAGATATGTGTGACAAGTCTTGGAAAATATATTGAGTACAGTCGCTATGACATTCACTTATATACCCAAGATATGTTACAAGCATGTTGATTACCACAGGGCACCAAACTTTCCCAAGATTTCAAAGCCTAACGTCTCGTAAACCTATCCCAGCATCCATGCGGTCAGACATGTCATCCCAACATAGTCTTGCAAGTACTAGCAGTAGCAGTAGTGGGATGATGGCTGATATAGAGGGAGGATACCGAAGACCCAGAAGAGAATCTGAACCTGGATTACACTCGTCTAATATTATGCCAGGTAAGACCTTATCACTGTTTTCTTATTTCAAACCTTGTGGTATTTCCTGAGAAAAAATTAATGTTAAGTAAATTTTTGGCTGCTTTAGCCATGGCTAAGATCAGCCCAAAAGTTGTTTCAGGGTAATAAAATAAAATTTGAAGGTTATCTATATAAATGCTTGCAAGCAAACAAATAATAAAACCCCTCTCCCCCGTCCCCCTCCCCC